GAAGAGCCACAGGTTGCAGACCCCTGACCTAGCAGCCCCTGTGTCTCGGTGTGGCTGACTCTGTTGACCTCTTTAAGAAGAAGCTCAGGACACTGTTGTTCAGCTAAATGTATTACTTAATGTAATATAAGTTGCATTAACTTGTTTTATGGTATGCCTTTATGCTCATATTTTTGTATAAATTTTATTTTTGCTCCTTGTGAAGCAGTTAAAGGTGCTATGTAGAGATACRTCCTGTATCTTGTGTGATGGGTCAAATGCAGAGCACAAATTTCATCAGTATATGGGAACATAATCGTAGCTGTTTGCTTTTTGTAAAAAAAATAATAAACCGTACGGTTAACTGTCCCWTCATTTGGACCTCTTCCTCTTATGTAGGTGATCAGACTTCTCAGCAGCCAGACTCTACAGTTCCGCGTCCTGGCTCTCAGTGCAACTCCTGGAGGAGATACAAAGGTGAGAAGAATATGTTTCAGTCCTAACTAGTGTGTTTTTTTTAACATACTTAAATTGTCCTTGCGATCGTCCTGTGAGTTCTCAACACCTCATGTCATATCTGCAGTCTGTGCAGTCCGTGATCTCCAACCTGCTCGTCTCCCACATTGAGCTGCGTTCAGAGGAGAGCGCAGACATTCAGGCTCATTCCCACCAGCGCACTGTGGAGAAACTGGTGGTTCCTCCGGGTGAGACCCTGTCAGCGTACCAGACACGCTACCTGCAGGTAGGCACGTGTTGTACCCTCCCTGTCTCCTCCTGTTGGTCTGCTAATTTCCTGAACACACTCAGATCTGTTTCACCAAATTGAATTTGATTTAATTTGATCTAAAATCCGTTTGGTAAGTGCTGCTTCAGCTGGGAAACTAAATTAGTATGGACATTCAACAAAGGCTAGAAAGACTAGAGGTGAATAGGACAAAAGCTTTGACATCTGCTGGGAAGGGCAATTTAATAATAAAAACAAATATTTTCTTTGTTTTCTTTTCTTTCTTTTAGAATCGAGTGCYGCTTATTTTTGAAGTTTTCTCAATGTGTTTGTTTTAAAATTGTTTTGCCCACAAATAAAAAACCCTTTTGTGACAAACACACTTGTTGCTAATGCAAATACAATATTAATCAAATCAGTTCTGAGTGCAATAAATTGGTTTATGTTTTATAAGCTATTTTAATGAAGTTTGTCTTATAATAAAACTGTATTTATTGTCTGTTTTGGGTCTGTTTAGTGGACTTTGCAACACTTCTTGATGCTTTGCTGCCACCTTCTGGACTCTGTTAGTCCGGCTCTTGTTTGACAACTTCATTTCTCAGCATCACGTCTTTTTTTTTTCTGACTGTGTGGGTTTTTTTTCTGGGTCAGTTAACACTAAAAAGTTTGATTGGTTTTGAAAGCATCATCCTGTTACACCCCATGGTCATGGCTTTAAGTAGACTAAGTCGTTCTGGTTTAATAACACACCCTTCCTGCTGTCTTGTCTCGGCTTGCCGTCTGTTTGTGGACACTTCTGGAAATGTGCAGCTGCGCTTTCTTTGGGTTAGTCGGCTGTTAAAATGAAACACCTGTTCCAGCTGTCAGTCTTCCTCCTTGAACGCCCCTCTTTTTTTATTTATCTTTACATTGGTTATAGACATTTCCAACTTTACATGGTTTTATTGTTTCTGCCTGACTGCAGGGTGTCCACGTCCACAGCCCACTTGCTAATCTCTATTTCTGTTCGCCAAAAAAGGGGGTAACACTTCAATCAGTTGTAAAATTACCCCAGCCGTGCTGGCAGAAACTTCATCATTTTTGCACAAATCAGAAAAATGAACCAGTCATGCGGGCGCATTTTAATCACACATCAGCAGGCACTGCTTCTCTTTTTTGTTCCTCTGCATTGGGGTTTTGATTAAGCACTGATAGAGGCACCCTTATGTACTGGTCACACGACCAATTTAGTGGGAAAGATTTGCTCTTTGGAAAAATCTGTTCCAAATTGTGTCAAAATTACAGACTTCAGGCTATACATCAAATTTAAAACTGTGTTGATAAATAAATAAATTACAGAACTTTTTTTAATGTTGGTCCTGTTTGAAGCAGAGCGGACTCTGCCTGGTGGCATTAAATGAGTAATAAAGTAAATAAGTAAATAGAGTAGTAAATAGAGTAAATAATTGCCAAAAAATAATCGATTGTTTTTTCTGATGATTAATTGCACACGATACAATTACGCCTAACCCTAGTAGACAGATGTGTGTATATTGTTAGTAAACATCTGTTTGTCATAGAGGATACACTGGTGAAAACTGATATAGCTCATTTGTTTTAAGAATAATTTTTTTTAATTCAAAAGACTTGTTGAACACAAACATTCTTATATCTGGTTTTAGAAAAAGTTTTAACACATACTAAATACAATATTATTCATTCATACACTTTTTAGTTGCAAAATATAAATATTTAATGCCCTTATTAGTGTGTGGTTTACTGTACTGTAGGAATAAAGGCTTATTGTACTACRTTTTTAATGACTTGGCATCAGCCTTTGTTAGAAAGTGATCATGTTTTTAAAACGGCGTGGTCTTTGGTTCGCCACATTTTATCCAATAAACAGCCTTTAAGAGTAGTTGTAGTAACAGTGTTTAATTTGGACAACATACAATTTATGAAGATGAGTTCTTTACTGAAGTGTTGAAATTAATCAGATTTTCTTCTTACTTACAAAAAATACCCAGCATCTGAATGTGGAAAAACTGTGAGGTGAAAAGATTTCACTTTCAATTATTGAAACTAATGTTTTTTTTTTTGCCCCAAGCTGTGGAGAGCCACAGTGTAATGCAGAAAACCAAATGTAACTTCAATTRCAAGACAGAACACGAGCACGCTTTATTGAACAAAGAAAACCACAGTAGRGCTTATATGTTGCACTTGAATTTTTACAATACAGTACACTGTCAAAAAAAAAGAAAGAATTAGAGTTTTTAAAGGAAAAATACAGCCTACGTGTACYATGGCTTTTGCAAGTGTTGACACAGATTAATACTTCTAACATTTATATCAAAATAAACTTCTTTGGATTTAGATTTCATGAATTTMAATTCAACTTTTTTTGACCTGTCCAACCCAACACTGAAACTGCCAATTTTATCATACGCTTTTGGAGAATTTTGTCAAATTTTTAACTTAGCTCTGCAACTACACACATTTAAAAGCATTTAACATCAGTCCACCTGAACAGCTGCCTGAGTTAAATTCATCGCACAGTGATGATTTAGCTAGATCACCTTCAGTTACATTCTGACTTTACAGTTAACTTTGCATTTTTCAATTGGTGACAAAACTTTACAAACAGCTTTATCTAAAATAGATATTCGCTTTACTTAAAGAAGTATAATCACAGTAGATACTCCGTGCACTTACATTGTTGTGGTTGCATTGGTTCTACTTAGCAGCAGTCGTGTTCACAATACATTGACCAGTGCTTACTGARGCTAACTTAGCAAGTAGAAACCAAAGAGTACACCAATGAATACTTTCATTTATGTTTAAGCAAGTGTTGAAGCAAGAGGAATGCATTACCTTGTATCACTGACTTCAGAAAACAGAAACAAAATCTTGTAGGTTTTGATTGTCGTTCAGCAGTGAGATTTGTTCTCAGCGTTTGGTTTGTTGAAGTTTCCATCATCACAAACATGAACAGGCTATGTTCACAATCTCTAAGTTAGCATCTGTGTTGAGTTTGAACATGTTTGAGGCCACTAGTTCTGGTCTGGATGATGTCTATTGCACTTCAGAGTTAGGTCGAGTTAGGCTAGTGGTCCAGAAACYGGCTTTGGGACTATTGCACTTACTGTTGAAATAAAATAAGCTGTATGAGCTGTATTTACTAGTCRAATCCATACATAAAGAAAGAACGGAGCATCAGTGACAGAGCTCAGTAAGCAACAGAGTGATCGTGTCACTAACGTGGCTGCACGTTACGGATGTGCACCCAAAAAAAAGAGAAAATATATAAGGCTGTGTCAACCYAAGCTTGTTTTCTTGTGAATAGACAGAATGTTGCACGTTGCTACCACCGCTCACTGGCCACCACAGTCAGAGAGCACTAACAATTTATACTATCATTTTTTTTTTACAAAAATTAAAAAAAGAGGTTTTAAAGCAGGAGGTAAATGCAGTGTTTCACTATAGCATCTGGTTTGTGTTCAAGAGAGTATGGCAGTAAGGTTTCCTATGAGATAAACTAATTGGGGAAAAAACAGGTAGGTCTAGTTGTTTTATTTTTTTATCAAAACATATRGGCTCTGGAGTGTGGTACGCTGGTGGTCATTTCAGATAGGGATGACTGAAGATGATGATGCACCTGAGGTTGTGGCTGAGCTAGCTGGGGGCAGTGTTAAGAGTTTGAGGCTCAAAGGCTCGCAGGCATGGACGCCGGCGTCACGTCAACGGCGCTCCAGGAACCAAATCTCATTCTGACGGTTGTTGTGGGCAGGGTTGGTGTAGCCTGCCACGATGAACGAGTCGTTGACGCATACGCCTGGRGAGTCCAGCAGCTCAGCCATGGCACTGATCTGATTAATGATCGTCACTTCATTGGTGGGACCGGTAAAAGCCCTGTTAAAGAGAGAGAGAGGGAAATGGGAATCCCACTTCGCCAACAGTGTTAGCTCTTCGAGAGTAAGTCAGTTTACTAACCTTGTGAATACAGTAGTGGCAGGCCAGACCTCTAGGATGATCTCGTTATCATAGGGTTGTGGGGGCTGGTCCTGGTGCTCAAGAGGGAGGTAGTACGCCACAGTGACATCTCGGGAGAGCACCGAGTGATTCTCATCCGTCCTCACTACTGTCAAAATGGGCAGTGTCATGCCAAGGTAGTCACCTGTAACCAAGGAAACAGAAACTGAAAGCTTGTAGTTGGAAGAAAAATTCTTGCAAATGTAATAAAGAAGACGATTAATTAAGATGTTAATACTTTGGTTTTGGACTCACTTATGGAATTCTGCTGACAGATGTATCTCATTATCTTCATAAAACCATAGCAGATGCTCTGTTCATACGTGTCCTCGCGCATCGTTATACAAGCCCAGTGGCCCTTTTCATAGTGCCGTTTCTCAAAKAGCACCTCCCCACACTACAGAACGAATAAAATAAAAGCATACGGTTATAACCGAAAGCCAAGCTGGAACAGAATAGTCTATTAAACACAGTTAAAACTATATAATCTTAATGCAAACAATTATCTCAATTAACATGAATTTTAAAATACAAATATGCAAGGAATTTAGTATCGGCACATTACAGGAAACCTGTAATAAACATGAAGTGTTTCCTTCACTGCTGTTTAATATCAATTATCATTGTTGTTTTACACAATATTAAAACCTGCTCTAAGAATAGGGTGCTATGATTAGCCTTTGTTTCACCGGAGTCTCCAGACAAGTTCTAATGAACTAATTACGTCTAGGTAAACCAGTTAGCGCTCTTTATTTATACACTCACCAAATGAGTTTAAACAGCTTGGGTGACATGACTGTCTTGCCATAAATAAATAGTTGACCTARAGTCATGTGTTCTTTTCATGTTATTAAGATCCCAGGTTGTATATGCTTGTTTTAAAAGGGTAAGAAAAGGCTTTAATTTTGTTCTTATGCTATAAAATAAGAAATAAAGTGCAGTTTGTTTCTCAATATAGTCCGCAAAAGTATTACTAAAAAAATAGGTACAAGTACAGGTTGTGGAAGCATTTGGCCAGTGTGTGCAGACATTCAGTTCAGGTAAATTAATCAGGARCAGCAAATTATTAATGTGTTTTTATGACATAGATTAGAATAGATTTTTTCATTTTATGTACAATAGAACAGCACAAAAAAACGGGYTTGTACAAGCTGACGGCATAAAGTGTTTTTGTTAAAAAGAAAACAAAAAGTACCTTCTCCTTCCGCATGAGGAGTGTAAAAGGGACATGCTCTCTTTGACTGCGTCCTTGATTGTTGCTGCTTAGCTGTTGAATGGGTTCTGCCATATCTGTCAAACAACCAACATGTTAGTAACAAATAATAGTGGTACCTGTCAATTAAAACTACACTCATAGGTGAAGTCAGACAGTAGTACTCTATATTAAATTTTTTTAAATGTATGCAAGTTTTGTTAGTGTGCATGCAGGTAAAGACATTTTAAACCATACATAACTCTTTGTTGATGTTCGAGGCCTGGATAAAAAAAAGGTTAACATTTTTTTATACAGGTATGCGTAGATAACCCTGGCTGAGTGTATTCATAATATATGCTGCCGTTGAGAGCACTGTGCCAGAGAGTAATGATTATTAAAACTGATGGAGAGAATATTGACTAACGTGGCTGAAGGCTAGGATAAGCTGCTTTTAACTGAGAGCCTACAGCACAAAGGTTTTTAAAACCGTGGTGCAAATTTTATACCAATATTTGAATGTAAATTCTTTATCCAACTTAGGMGGATTTTTGTTGTTTAGTTATTTTTTTTTAACTGTTACAGAACCAATCAATGTTGACCACTGCCCTGGASGACATCTGGGTCAAATGGATCTGTGGTTTTGAATGATCAATTGTTTGACAAGCGAAGCCGTGTGTTTGTCTTTATGTGGGGATTTTATGAAAATAAAGTTACAAGTTAAAAGTAYCTCGGCATGAAGGAAAAGTATTTTACATCAACCTATATGTAAATTACAAGAGGCTAAAAATTAAAATGAAAAAAAAAAAAAGAAACCACAACTAAAGTTAAAAATACTACATTTTACACAAGTAAAGTAATCAGTTTCTATACAAATGTCTTAAATTTATATTATCTAATTTTTGTACTGAGATGATTTTCACACCCAGCTAATAGCTGTTCCACAGTTCTTGGTTTGTTGTGTTGTTTTTCTGTCTGAAATTTAAACACTTAAAAAAAAAACAACAACCCCCGTTCATGAAATAAGCTTTTAACATCATCACATTGTGCACACTGATTTAAATATTTACTCTTACTGAATAAGACAATCATAGATGACACTTGAACACTTAGAATAGTGTTATAGACYTTTGCACACAAAAAATACACCAAAATAAAAGCTGTGGACAATGATGTAACAGATTTGAATTGCAGAAGGATCAATACTCTGTAAGTTGTGCTGTTTCACTTGTTTGTACATATTCTGAGTGGGCTTCAAGTGAGACAGAATATTAAAAAATTCATTCATTCAAGAAATGAAAAACACATTGTGCTCTTGGCACGGTCTCTCCAACAACAATGGGGCCTGAGCTTTTGGAACAATAAACTCCATCTTGTTTACATGCTAAAAGTCCCACACATTCTTATCAGTTCTCAGTTGTCCTCATTTTACCCTTCAGTGACTCACAGAATAGAATACAAATTATAACATCTGTACTGGATATATAACTGTGCAAGCACAATGTAAGGTTAGAGATAAAACAATGCGTCACAGTGCACACCCTCTGACATTAATAACTAGTCTGAGATTATGTTTGCAGCAATCAGCTGTAAACACTAATTAGCTGCTAGCTCAGCAACTAAGACAATGAGGCAGCATAAAAACTGGAATTAATGGCTGTTATTTTTCTGCAGAAATCAGTATTTTGTTCCTGCATGTGCTTTGATATAACCAAAATATACAAAAACCCAACGTATGAAGCAGCAAATAATGCCAGATCAATTACTCTCCTGCTGTAAGCTATTAGGTGCATTTTAGCCTTTTATGGACTTTATCTCAGGGAGCTGGCAAAGTAAACTGAATATAACCTGGTGTGTTTGATGCACCCAGTATTGTTCTCACGTCCAGATTCTTTGGATCTTTGGATAATGTCCAAGAAACACTGAGGCCGTGGTGTAAGTGTGAAAGTGGATTACAACAAGCAGAGCCTCCCACCTAACTCCACTTGGTTTGACTCTCTCAATTAGAGCAAAGGATTTTACTGTGACCTTGGCCTGTGTCCTTAGCTACAGTTTAGTGAAGAGCCTACGTTTTAGTACCCACACAGGCAAAGCAGATAATCGCCTCTTAGACAGAGGAATTTTATTTTCTCCAATTAATAGTGTGTCTGAAGACAGAAGGCAAAAGATGTTTCAGTCACTGTTATTGAGTTCCCAGTGGACTTCCTCAGTGTTTCTTATACAGATCTATTAAACAAGAAATGGATAGATAATTAAAAAAATGTGAGCTTTCAAGAGCTAAGTGCACTACTGTGTGTTGTGTTTGATTTTGATCTGAAATGGTCCCAGGGTGGACATGATAAGCTTTAGGGACAACAAACAAAAGCACAAATCTTGAAATCTCGGTCTGTTCGAACACACACTCYCTTTACGCAGGAGTAAACTGATGAAAAAAATCAAAACGATTTTGATTTTGTTAACTCTATAGGTAAACATGGTTATCTGCAGTGGGTTCTGAAAACAAAAGCAGGAATTCAAATGTTGAAAGTGTAACTTTTCTCAATGGGTTCATTGTTTAGGATTGTGTGTGTGTCTAATCTGTAATTAGCAGTTCTGCAGTTCATTGTTTTTGTCTCCTGGCAAGTACAARGTCTGCATTTACATGGGGGAAAATAAAATTGGCTTTTTTTCCCCACTGCATCAAGGCAGCCCGTCAGTTACATGTTTGTCTGATTCATCCACCAGAGGGGCCTGAAAAGGTTTTAAAGAAATTCAGAGTTAAATGTTAAATGGACTATACTTATATAGCACATTTCTATCCAACCAGGATACTCAAAGCGCTTTACAAGACAATCTGTGTCCTTATTTACCCACTCGCACAGCACTATATTATCTCTCTACAACATGTGCAAATCAGTGCATCAAACTCACATTCATACACTAATGAGACACATCAGAGGCAGTGGAGGTTCAGTGTCTCGTGCAGGGACACTTTGACATATGACTGACTAACCGGAAATCAAACTGCCAACTCTTTGGTTAGAGGACGACTCCTCAGACACAGCTGCCCATGTTCTTGACCACATTTCTGAAAACTGCAACTATTTCATACACACACACACACACACACGCACGCACGCACGCACGCACGCACGCACGCACGCACACACACACACACACACAAGCTCTGCGGAACATAATAACATAACAATTCCTTGTTCGTCGCCATCTTTGTTCTCACCCTGGGATATAAAAGAAACAAACAAACTTTACATATTGGGTGTAATTTTACACACAGCAATGTTCAATGACTTATTGTTCTAAATTTTATCCTCAACCTCTCTTTGTATTGGGTAATGCACACCCTTATTGTGGTTGATGGCTGTTATAGAGCCCAGCATTAATATACATTATTAGTCTGCTTTTTAAAGCAAACTCTGGGTCAGACGTTTGTTATACATGAAATTTATTTTAAAAAGATGCATCACTGAGGCGTAAATGTTTAATACACATTTAATTTATTTGATGCTTTTTTTAATTGATTGTTTTTGTACAYAGACAACTTTTGTTGTGACTTGGTGCTATACAAGTAAACTGAATAGAATTGAATGTTACTATGTGAAACCCTAAATGACTGTCAAAACATGCTATTTTTTCAATGCGTTTGACTTGGATTTTTATGCTTCTAACACATTTCTACATCAGTAAACAATCGTTTGACAGTTAACACAACTCAGACTGAGTTTACACACCATTTTTGAGTGATACCGTAACATTTCCGCTGCAGTTTATTGTCGATGGCAGTCGWTTTCCCTCATACCGAAGCTTTTTAAATCCAGGTCTCAGAGTGGAGGTTTTTGGAAACGCCAGGCATAGATGTGAAATTGCGTGTGTGCACTATGGACGGCTGCAGACCCGTTTTTCTGTGCTTGCACYAATAAATGTACAACAGTGACAACAGTAGATAGTGAAGTGCTGTTTGTTCTAATCCTCCCTTTTTCAACATGTAAATCCCTCTGGCATTATTTACTAACTCAGTATACATCGCACACCGAGACTGTTTGAAGTCTACCCGTCCATGTTCGAATCTGAACAAACAGCTCGTAATTGTTAACAACAAAAACATGATATMGCAATAAAACTAGCTCAAACGCTCTCCTGTTGTAAATTATTAGCTGCATTTTAGCTTTTTATAGATTTTATATCAAGGAAATGGCAAAGTAAACTTAATTTTACTTGTTTATTACAAGTTGTGCGATAGACTTTTTGTAGTAACGGATGTGTGTATAGTATTTTATTTTGTATCAGAAATGAAATGTATTTCGATAAATGATACAGGAAAACACATTTAGGTGTAAATAAAGAATAAAGTATCCAGTTAATTAAATTTGCATGCAGGGTGACAAATACTAGAAATACTGCACACATCTAGGATGTAGTGATTTCAGAACTAATGTTAGCATGATGCATATTAGATTATCTTGGTTAAGGGTTGAAGTTAGGTTTATGAAACCTATTATTAATAAAAATTATTAGTTCAAAGCAGCCAAAGATTATATACTTTTAATTGCCTTTTAGCGCTAATGTGAACTATTATCAAACTAGACATGCAATTGAAAGTAGATTTATACTTCCAAAAGTTCGCACAAATTCCATGAAGATGTCGGCTTTATATAGATTTATGTTTTTATGGAATACTTTACCTAAAATCATATTGGAAATATATCAGGAAAAAGAATTTCGAACAACTTTAAGAAGCTATTTGCAAGGAAAACAATTATATTGAATAATTCATTGTTGTATTCATTATTCTGTTCATTATAGCAAGTGAAACTTAGTGACTGATTAGTTGTTTTTTATCCTGTCTTTATTTTGTATATTAATCTGTGACCTCTATTTTTATTTTTATATTTGTATTTATTTTTTGTTTATTGTGTAGTTATTTTTGTGTTGAATTTATTTGAACTATGTATGCTATGTATTTTGTATTGTTTTATGTTTAATGTGTGGACCCCAGGAATAGTTGCAGAAACTGCAACTAATGGGGATCCAAACAGAAAGAAAGAAAGAGAAATCTAAACATTACTGGTTAAATGTTAGTGCTTTTAACACCTGTGTGTTATTACAATTTTATATCAGAAAATTGATTATTTTACACAGCTGGACAAAGATCAATGTAAACAGTAGATGACTATAAGACTGCAAACATCAAAAGCTGTCTTAATTCAGTGCGTGCTTTAATTTTCCTTTGCCCTTATATTTTATTTGTAAAATAACTAGCTGAGCATAGTTGCAAGGAATCTTAAAAACAAAAGTTTTAAGTGTGCTGACCAAGACAAACTAGTTTTTCTAAGGGGGGGGTTGTTTGTTTGTGCAAATCGTTAAGAATGAGAAGAAAGTAATGGAGGGCTGATAAGTTTTGTTTTCTTTAGAAGATWATTATTTTGTACCTTGGGAAACTTCCACCTGGTGACCCCTCGCCACTTCCTGCCAGTAGTGCAGCATTCGGTTTGAAGTGTCGTCTGCCTCCATGGTTTCTCCCTCCTCCTCCAGGCTGCCATTGCCCGAGTCTGAGAGTTGATCCTCGGCGAAAGACTCCAGGTCCTCTAGCGTGATCATTCCGTTTCCTCCGCCACCTCCGCCGCCTCCTCCGCTCATCTGACAACCGCCACGGTCCATTTCAAAGCTACAAAAAAGGGTCTTAAATGACGTGTAAAAAAAAAAAGTTAAATTACTTTTCAGTGAATTTGCTCTTTGTCGCGCTGTCTGTGTTTTCCTTCGCAGCGCGGTGTGTACAGTTTGTTCGGATTATCACAGCCGGCTTCTGCTCAACAGACCAGGCGCTGCTACGCTACACCCGACGTATTTGACCATATTTGCTTTCGTTTTTTTCTTTTATCTGACTTTCGTAAACTGTGTCCCTTTGGGGAACGCTTAAAAACGGCAATGAAAAACACTACTCGACCGTCTGATTTCCCGTGCAGACGAGCGTGACACTTGGAGCGAAGCGGAGTGTGGTGTTTATAAGGGCGGGCCACCCGGCCACGGGCGGCACCACGTGACGCTGGGGATCTCGCAAACTCCGCCCCACCGCGCTGCCCCAGCTTATATGCACGGCACTCCTATCAGAGTACAGGCAGTTCTTTTAACAGTGACGGTCTCAATGTAAACAATAWGATTAAAGATGATGTCGGGCGTATTACCTCACATTTGTTGTGGATTTTAATTCAGATCAATGAGTAGTTTTATAAACATATTTTCATTGGTGATAACAGTACATTTTTTTTATTTCCTTAAACTTGATAAAGAAACGAAATAAATGTTTATAGAGGATTAAAAACAAAACCGATTTTGATCACCAGGGGACAGCCTTGTCAAAAATCTCTGTTACTGCAACTGCTAGCCACCATGCCCTACCCTTCAACATGCACGTAGATAGGGCATTATACAATCCACTATATTCTGTGTGGGAGTGTCTGGGTTAGTATGTTCTAGTTACAGTAGCAGTTCCTTACAGGGAGGAGGGACCTCATAATGCCCCTCCTTATCTGTCTACTGGTGTTTACTTTAATTGTTTTAAGGTCTATAGTCAATGGTCCCAGGCAAATTGCAGTGTGAATAATCCACACTAGCAGCAAACGTAGTTTCTTTATACATTTCCCACCTGGAAGGGTCAGTGATACATGGTACAAATATTATTACTTCAATCTACTGTAGTAGCTGGAAAAGTTCACTTTTATGGTATTTTTTTTATTCCCTAATTTCTCTTTATAGTTCATTTTTTAAATATAATATACTGCTTTGATGTACTTTAGTTTTGATACTTTTCCAATGAGATCCTTAATTGTTATGAAGTTAGCAGCAGCCTATTTACCTGGATGCAGAAATTCACCACAGATTAATTCAGATGTTGAATAGCTGTACAAACAATGTAATACAAGCAGTCATAGACTCAAGTTAACTGCTGTGAATAAAAATTAGGTTGATTTGAAGTTGTTATTGCGTCACAGTGATGTCGTTCTGCACATTCTTTCTTTGCACTTCACATTCCAGCTGGGCCAAAACAATGACCTCACTAATCTGGTTCAGTTTAATCTCATAATCTGGACGTGACCGCAGTATGGCCACGCTCACATTGAGATCCACCAGTTTGTCAGCAGACGACAGACAGCTGGGTCAGGGGCAGCCAGCTCGTGGCTGTTTCTTTTAGCATATGCAGCATTACGTCAGCATTTTGTGACCCAGAAACCAATTCTTTAACAGGAAGTCTGTAGATAGATAAATCAATGAAAAGAAAACCTTGGTATTAAAATACACAACGAGAATGGTGGAGTGGGGTGTGTCTGTGAGGAGGTGGGGGGCTGTTGTAATAAAAACAAATACATTTTGCCTACACATTTCAAAAATGTATTTTGTTTTGTTTCTTACATGTTCTGTAAGTAGTTTTATAGAGACCAGTGTGAACATTGTGTCTCTGATTCATGATGACACACAGATATTTATCAGGCATATTCTCAAACCTGAAACAGACAAAGTGCCTGAGGGCTGATAAACAACTCAGTCTGTTAAGTTCTTGTCTGATTTGCATATTGTATTTTTTACAGCACAACCAGGTAATGAGGTTTTTGAATGACTTTTAATTCAGGTTATTTGACATAAATGCTATGACTGAGTGTGTGACTGACTAAATAAACTTCTGTGTGGACAACACTATCCCCACCAGAACAGTGYGATGCTTCCCTAATAAACCCTGGATGACCAATGAGATAAAGGAACTGTTAAACAAGAAAAAWATAAAAAAGAACCTTTGGGTAGRGAGACAGGGAGTTATCGAGGAATATACAGAAGCAGCTCAAAGTCAAGATCAGAGACAGCAAGGAGGTTTATAGAAGGAAGCTGGAGAATAAACTGCAAAGGAACAATTTCAGAGATGTGTGGTCAGGGATGAAGAACACCACAGCCTTCAAGCAAAAGGAGAATTGGATACATGGAAGTCTGAACAGAGCAAATGAGCTGAACACATTCTTCAACAGGTTCAGCTCAGGAACAAGCTCATCTTCCTCCTCTCCTGCCCCCAGTCAAACAGTCATCCCACCCTCCTTTGTCCCACAGCTTTCCTGTCAAACCTCAGATGTTTTAACTTCAACCCTAGTCATGGACTCTTCTGATTTTACAAGTTTGTCTTCAACCAAATCAGGAATTGCTGCTGCCATATATGCCAAAACACAGAGGCAAGCATTGAGAACAATAATGAGTAAGACACATTGTAAAACAGGTGGCTAAACTCATGTACAGTGATTTACTAGTGATTGATTATTACTGGTAACTTTGTGAGTCTTCACATGGTATATGAGCTGCTTGTTGACCTTCTTTTCCAGTATTTTGAAGAGACTGGGCAGTTGGATCTGTAGCAAATCAGGCCTAACTAATTAATAAACCCTTTTTATATTACTGATATTTTATAAAATATRATCTTTTGTGCCTGTCATTTGCTTTAATATTAGTCTAGTTTGTAAAGTGATATTTTAGTGGATTTTGATGGTTTTTCATATATTTTTGTTTCAAAGATGTTATATCTTACAACCGTACAGGGACCATCGATGCAAATGCATTGCCCAACGTAACAGATGTTAATGATAGAAGGTTTATTTAATGTTTTTTTATCCTGTGTTATAAGATCACCACTATACCTTTCATTACATGATCAGTTTCTTACCACTGCCCACTGAAAGTTATTCCACACGATCTAAAARCAGTTTTTCATCCCGTCTTAGCGGCTCGGTTGTTGTGCTTTCTATGCCATAACATGCGTGAAAGTGAAGCCTGGCCAGATGGTTCGTCTCTCTTACATTTAGATGATAAAACATTTAGGACTGGCTGTTGATGTTATCAGAAATGTCAGATGGATTAAAGGTTATAATTTAACCTCTTTCTTTTTGTCCTCATAAGTCCTACAGAGCGCACTCACATTTCACCTGAGTAGCAGGCTGAGGCTTCTGACAAATAAGGCAAATTGTTCAGTTGTGTTTACATTACTAGAAGAAAGCTCTCAGTGGTAATTGCCACAGTGGATTTATGTCAGGGTCGACAGATGCTAGAATACATAGTTTCTTTTTCAGCGGCTGACTGAGAGGAAATACAGCGACTGCAGATTTCTTCTCAAATAACCAATTTCCCTCCTTTGAAAAAGCTGATCCATTAGTACGAATGAAACATCTCTCCTATTTCCACCACTTATTCTCCTGATTGCTATTCTGCAATATCTCCTAAAGCAAGTCAATTGCTCATCATCTGTTACAAAATTTAATTTTTACGCACAAATTGATTCCAGTGGGCAACCTACTTCTCTCAGGGCAGTCCCTTTATTCTGTGCACTTTGTGGAGCAGAAGTTTTACCCAGCTGAAATTGAAATCATAATGACCCAGCCTCTCATTATCTGCAGTTGTGAGGATGAAAAGACTTAGTTGAATTGTCTGTGATGGATGAATTGCTTCCATCGGTTTCCCCCATTATTTTCAAATGAGGACAGAGGAAACCAACAAAGAATTCATCACATTTTAGTTTTTAATGGGGCGACACTTTCATTCAGTGTGGAAAGGTCTGCTTACTAGGAGCAGTAATGACTCCTGTGTATGTCGTCCATAAAGGGCTTTTTCTGTCAATGCTCCTTTATCAACTCAGYTTGAACCTTTTCCCACTATAAAAGAGACCCACTCTCTTCTTGATGACCTACTTTTCTGTTATTTACCCATCCTGCCAGGTGCTGGAGAAGTTTATGTCCCGTCTGGTTCAGAACCGGGTTATGGGCCACAAGGACCTGCGGACTCTCAGCAAGTACCAGCTCATTCTCGCCAGGGATCAGTTCCGCAAGATCCCGCCAACGCACATCAAGGCATGGTCACGTTAAAACCATTTATGCTGTGTTGTATTCTTTGTTTTACATAATCTATAAGTTTCCTGGATGCGTCAAAACTCACAAAATGTAGTCAACAGAAGATGTAAAGAACTAAAAACAATAATCGTCCCAGTTGTTAGTTTAAGATTGAAGTGCCCATATTTGTATTTTTTTCTAAAAAAAAAAATCACATCACGTTGAGAACATTTAGGAAAAATTGGAAAAGGCTAGATAATGCAATACTTAACCAGGAATAAAAAACCCACTCCTGTTTTGGGTGGTTACAGGAGGTGTCAAGATACAACCTCGACCCAGAGGAGGGAGAAAAAGTGACATCACATCAACAAAATAAGTATTGGGCAACATTCTTCCAATCATTTTCACAAAAAAACACAAATTGTAAAATTTTTCACAAACTGTAATGTTTGTGTGGTTAGCAATTCAGGAAACGAATGTCCACTAGGGTTGGACGATGTTGGCATACAAGTGTATCACGATTAATTGTGACATTCAGCCAGTAATGATCATTATGAAAATTAATAGATGACAATTGCACTTGCATACAGCTGATGTGGTATTGGTCCACATTTTATGGCTTTCCTCCTACTCTAGCTGATGTCTGTGTTTCAGGTGATTAAACAAGTTTGTAAGGTAGGGGTTAGTGATGGTGTGTCGCACACAAAATACATCTTCACATGGCACTAATTGTAGTAATTGCAAAGTGTCAAATATTAATTGTTGACAGTTTTTCTTAATATTAATTCCACATGATACAAATTTGCTGCCATTGTTTTATAACAATGCCGTTGATGCTGATGGTTTATTTAAACCCCATTCTGACGTCAGTTTTTAATTAGTCACATGTCATCATGRTCATCCCAGGGTCCTCAGCAGGGAATGCTGGAGGGTGACTTTGCCCTTTGCATCAGTCTGTACCACGGTTACGAGCTGCTGATGCAGATGGGCTTCAGGTCACTTTTCTTTTACATCCAGGGAATCATGGACGGATCCAGAGGTCAGTCTTCTCCKTCCAGTTTTTCAGTGTTTCTTTGTCGTTTACCTGCTCAGAGGTTGCACTGAAAGAGCGTCTCTTACTCATGTGTTCATATTTGCGTATTTCAGATTTCCTTAATCTGTCAGAATTTACATGTAATTCCTGTATGAATTTAAAAACATGTCAAATGTGAGAATGTGTCTGCCTTTTTTATTTTGTTTAGAGATGTCCAGAGCCAAGAACGAGCTCCAGAGAACGCCCATATTTATGGCCCTGTACCAAGAGATGAAAGCAATGTTTCTGAAACCACCTGCTGGTACATGACTTCTTTCGAACTACAGAACTCAAATATCCAWGTCTAATAGTTTTCCACTCCATCTCTTTGAAAACAAACAAAACCTATAGTGCATTAAACCGGCAGTCTATGTTTAACCAAAATCTCCTGTTCTGACTATTCCCAGGTCCAGATGAGCCGTTTATTTACGGGCACCCCAAACTGGAGAAACTGGAGGAGGTGGTGTTGCAACACTTTAAAGCGTGGGCCGAGCGTTCCYCAAACACAAATGGTGATGTCCTTTATATAGCAGCCTTTAGCTGTGATTCATACATGGAATGATTGTTCCTGCTTAAAGCTGTACCACATCAGAGAAGYCATCTAATATTAAATRTGACTTCTCRAATCCTTACATCATCAGGGGGARTGGACTTAGTATGAGATTCTAATGTTTCTCAACAATATACTGGTACAATACAGTATTTGTTTGTAAACAATTTGAAACTTTAAATTATTTCAAAAGAGCTTGTCTGGACAAATAGAAAAACTTAGTTACTTTCAATTAATAATTTGTTTTCTTGTTAATGTCTGGGTTTAGGTTCTGAGGGAGTAAGTACGCGCGTGATGATCTTTTCYTCTTTCCGTGAGAGCGTCCAGGAGATCGCGGCCATGTTGAACCGCCATGCTCCTCTCATCAGGGTCATGACTTTTATGGGTCAATCCTCAGTGGGAAAAGGAGTCAAAGGCTTCACCCAGAAGGAACAACTGGAGGTAAAAGATGTTTTTCTCTGTTTAATACGTCATTTTTATGACTCCTGATTTGAATGAATGYGTGGTTAGTAGGCTTCTATACAACTGGAACAGGTCACTGAATCAGGTGTGTTTGGAGCAGAGTAACTAGTAAAACATGCAGGATAGCGGTCCTCGAGGACCAGAATTGGCTGTCCCTTTACTAATAGTTGATCTGTTATTAAATTTATAATAGCTGGGTTTCAGTTACGTGCTTCTGATGGCGTGTGATTTCAAATAGAGGGCAGGAAGTAAAATGTCTGTGGAGGAAATTGTTGTAGAGTCCGTATTGTACGGATTTTGATCCAGTTTCAAGGCAAAAATACCAGCAATTGATTAACAAATGTTGGACATGACCCATATCTCATGAAAATGAATAAGTTTTCAACAGAACCTAAAGATTTGCTGACAATTGAGGCTGTCGATATCACAAACTATCCTTCAGACGTCTTATGTCACCAAACAGCAGATGAAAGCCCATAAAAGTCTGGAGGCATATAACTTTTTTGTCATTGGGTGGGTTCACAATCTCTGTACCTGATGGCTCTACCATTTATTATTGTTTGGTCTTCACCAGGGTCAGTGTTTGTTCTTATATTGTTTTATATCTTAAGATGCTAGCATTAGCAGCTACAACATACAACAAACATTCTAAAAAGTCCAGATACTTGATATCTGGACTTGATATCCCTTTTACTCAGTTAGAGCGATTGTAGCAGTCGTAAACGACACAAAACAAGGGCGTTTTTACAGGTGGCAAATCCTCCGCTACTTAACTTCCTGCCCTCCCTCTGTATTTTGTGCTCTGGCTGTACTGCGTTGTGACGTGAAAACTTTTTGAAGCATTTTATTACAAYCACAAATGCAACAACTTTCATTGGTTTTAAGACATTTGTAGGGCTGTATCTCTGTTTTAACAAAACCTTTGAATGACTACAGAAAAAATGAAAAGATCAGTTGCGTTGATCCCTCGTGTTCCAGGTGGTGCACAGGTTCCGACAGGGAGGCTTCAACACGCTGGTTTCGACATGTGTGGGTGAAGAGGGGCTGGATATCGGGGAGGTGGACCTCATCGTCTGTTTTGACGCACAGAAGAATCCCATCCGGCTTGTGCAGAGAATGGGACGAACTGGACGTAAGCGTKAAGGGCGCATCGTCGTCATCCTCGCTGAGGGACGAGAGGAGAGGGTGTGTATTTGTCAATGACCTGCAATGGTAATAAATACCTCTCAGAGTGTTATAAATGTCTAATAACTTTACCCTGTGTTTTCCACAGACCTATAATCAGAGCCAGAGCAACAAGCGCAGTATATACAAGTCCATTACTGGCAACAAAAGTGGGTTTCACATGTACCCAAATAGTCCCCGCATGCTGCCTGAGGGGGTGAATCCTAAACTTCACAAGATGTTTATTACCTGTGGCGAGTTTGACCCCAGAGAGGTCAGCAGGAGGTCTTTCAGGGGTCGGCGGTCCCACTCCGAAGGACGGGCGTCACTCATCCACCCTCAAAACCTGCGTAAGTCAAAGATTGWCTCTAGTTAGATTTCAGCTAAATTTGAAAGGGTTTTAACAAATCCTAGTTTTCTTTTTGTCAGTTCAACAAGGCAAATCAGCACCTGATGGCTTTCTGAGCAGCACAGAATATTCTCTGTGGGCGTCCACCATGAAGCTGGACGAGAGTGAAGCTCATCCAACTCTGAAGCCGTCCCGCTTCCTGTCCATACCCAGTGACTCAGAACTTCAGGTTTCTTACAATTTTTTATTCAAAGTTGTTCTTATGCCTGTTTGAAAATAAAGTTAACTTTCCAGCAGGACAAAAACTTGCTTTTTYTMTCCCAGGTTTGAGTATAATTGCTTRATTTCTTTATGGCAGGAAGTCTTTTCTAAAGACAAACCATCGTCCAGGGAGCTGTCTTTGTGGGAATGGAGACACTGGCAGCACAAAGCTCTTCCTTTCCATGCTGTTGACCATTCCCTCCGCTGCAACCACTTCATCAAAGTGATGGAGCTCATAGACMGCATGAGAGACGAAACTGAGGTGGGAACCAAGTTCACTTAGGATTAGTTTGTTTTGTTGCGCTAAGTCTCAAACAATTGGACAGCTTAACAACAAGTCAGATTAGGACTTTCTACAGCCATTAATTCAGAGTACACACTGATCTAGTGATGACGGGGCATGGCTTCATAAAATGCTTCCAAACATCTTTCACAAATCCTGCTTGGTTTCATAACAGACGGAAGGACATTAGTGTGGATTTACACAAAGGAAAACCAAACTTTATAAAAAGCATGAGAGGAGTCAGCTGATTTCCTTGGGAACATACAACTGTGGTTTGTTTTGAGTTGCTAAATTTGTCGTTTTGACGTGGAAGGCAAATTCCTTGCATGATAAGCAGGCTCCATCAAGGCATTAGTTCAAGTAGGGAAATTCCTTAAAAAAGCTGAATATTTGCATACCCATGGAACAGCATGGTACATGGTTTTAGCTGCTAGTTAACACCTGCTTCATTGTCCTGACAGTTGGTTACATTTAGCCAGTATCCCTTCCTTATTCTTCATATCACCGAGTATCCCGGTCTCACCATCTGGTCTTCATCAATGCTGCTTACAATAAAACCCCTGAAAARGACCAGATCTCTAAATCTAGGTCAAAGCTTATAGTAAAGTGGGCCCATATTGTCTGTTTTTTTTTGTCCCCCGCTGAGGGTTTTCATCATACTCAGGAAGGAGAAAATGATGCCACCTGTATAAACAAAACAGAAACAAAGCAGAGCAAGTCATCAGCTAATGATTGATGTCTCAGGTAACAAAACAACCAGCAAACAATACAGTTTGCATTCATATATCAGTTAGGGAACTATAAATTGGTCCACATTTAATTATTTAGTCTCAAAAGGAAAATATAAAATTAATGCACTAATATTTTAATTGTATCGTCCATCAGTATATCCATCATCTGCTGCTTCTTCCAAAGTTCGGTCACAGGGCAGCAGCTTGAGCAGGGAGGCCCAGACTAGCCACCTCTTCCAGCTCTTCTGGGAGGACCCCAAGGRGTTCCCCAGGCCAGCTGAGAGACATCATCTCTCCAACGTGTCCTGGGTCTTCCCCGGGTTCTCCTCCCATTCYGACATGCACTTAAAACCTCCCTAGTGAAGAAAACCCAAAGATACTTGAACTCCTCCATTTGAGGCAGGACCTCACTCCCAACCCAACCCAACCCACAAGTCTGAACTTTACATAGTCCAGATTAGCTTTGTYCAAGATGCACATGCTGATTTAAAACCTGCCTGATTATCCATGAATGATGATGCTTTCACAGCTGTTCACGTGATCCCTGTGCACGACTCAGATACAGTACTATTAAAATTCTGACTTTTGAACTAGACATAAATTAGTTGGAAATTTTTCAGACCACAAAACTSTTTTAAGGGAAACATMTCCTGCTTTTAAATCCTTCTTTTTCACATTTAAATTATTCAGTTGGGGTCTATATAAAGTGGAACTGCAATGCTTTGGTCTGAATTCCTCCTTGRTGTAACTCAACAAGCCCCTCTTTCACCCCTTTTCTGAGGCTGTCTCTTTAAATCCAAATGAGGCGCTTCACACCCAACTCCAGCTTCCAGACCGGTCCATTGCAYCTTGATAGAGGAGTTTACGACTATAGCGGTGCAGGAACTTTTTATTTACAAATGAATTAAAATATGTCAACAACAACCTTACATGTTGGAACCAAGTCTGACCCAGAACCAGAGGATGAAGAAGACCAAATTGTAYTTGGTAAATCCATACTTTATTTGGCAGACCCATTGCAAATACTGTGACGTAATAGTTTAGAAAATGTCCTTGAAAATAAAGAAAACTGGTTGAAAAATATGACCCAAACAGAATATTAAGATATCAGCACCGGCAAAGACCAAATTCTACTTTTCTGCAGTCCTAGAGACTTCAGATACACAACAAAATGCATTTAATGGCTAAAAAAGTGGATTTTACATGACGTTCTGATGCATCTCAGTAATCCAGGTAAAAAATCAAAAAGAAAAAAATTGTATAGGRCTTCTGGACGGGTTCTTCTCTAATGAAACGTATCAGTATCAGTCACATGGAGGCAGTGCTTAAAAGCCTGAATTTTGCCTGAAACTCTCAGACTGAAGAAGTCTCTTGGAGGAGAGACGAAACATTTCATTAGAGAAGAACCCGTCCAGAAGACCTATACAATTTTTTTCTTTTTGATTTGACATGACCTGTCCCCTTTAAACAGTCTATATAAATGTTTTGGCAATGTTTTGGTAAATTATTCAGTTTTTTGTCTTTTCTGCAGTTTTACGTTTTATTTATGTTTAACTAAGTTTTTTACTCAGTCTTTTAGGTCTTAAGATTTCTCTTATATCTGTCAGTATGACAGGTGTTGTGATTCAACCTGCTAATCGGAGAGATTCAGGTCCTTCAGATCCAGCAGTTGAAGTTTTCGAATTACACAACAACTGACCTTGTGTCGGCCCCCCTGTCCTAAAGTTTACGAAACATACCGCCGCCACCAAATTTAATTTATTTCTCAGTTTAACTAAAACAATGTCATAGTTTAGAAAACTTTGACTTAATTCGGTGATGCTTTCCATTGCGTCATAGAGTCTCCGGACTTTTTAGGAAATGCTTTATTTTTAGAAGAATTTTCCATGGGGGGAAAAACAAGCCCTTGTTATGATGAGAAATTTAATTTTAAAAAATTCCTGGAAGGGTCTGGTTTTCACACAACTGAATAACAGCGTGTATTTAGACTGAACAAGCAATGTTTGGGCAGAGGGAGAGTAAAAAAAAAAAGAACTGATGTGTGATGTTTTCAGCCTTTCCATCAAAAGACAGTTTTTAAAGTTAAACAGATATTTTTGCTGTTTTACCATTTTTTTTATTCTTTTTGTTAGTTTGAGGAGCAATTTCACATAAACCTCATAACATAAACTCTCATTTACAGAGCCGATGTACACAACTATTAAAAAGAGACGTTTGTTCATCTTTCAAGCATCAACGCCAAAGCAGGCTCACCCATATTGTTTTTCATTCTTTTTTAACTCCACAGTAAATGTTGTTAAAGTCTCCTGACCCCTTACTTCCTGTCACTCGAGAATGTTTTAGCCCATTTTCCACTGTTCCTCTTTTCTTTTTTCTTCTTTTTAAATCACACTGTCTCTTTATAACAAAAACATGAGGGCTTGCACGCAGGCCCCCCTCGCATGTGATTATGTAACGTTTCCATGAACCGTTACATAACACCAGGAAGCTGGAAATAGGTCAGCCCATGATGACCTACATGTGCAAGGAGGAAAAAGATTCAAAAAAAGATGAAAGGAATAAGGAAAAGGATGCGAAGAAAACTGACGAAGAGTTACTGATAATGCGTATTATTTAACAGTGCTGACTCACACACAACTAGTTCACGAGGAAGCGTGTTTGCACTTGCATGGATTATTAGATTAACATCAGATAGTTATTGCCCATGCTAAAAGGCAATAGATGGGTGACAATGGTTTTGCCCATGTCTCTGTGGGTGTTTGCTTGGCTGTCTGTTAGCAAAATATCACACAAACTACTAGACCAGGAATATTCACCTGGCAGTCCATGAGCCACTTCTAGCCCGCAAGTGACCAGTCTGGCCCACTGATCCTCTTAAATAGATGGCAGGGCTATACAACTCAATAACAARAACAAACAATAAATTTTAAATTTAATAAAATAATGAATTATAATTTCTTTTAAATTAGAGTAAATAGACTGTTTTATTTAATTGCTGGATGTTTTGCACCTGAGCCGATGGCTTTCAGTTACTGTGGCCCCTGAATAATTTAGTTGAATAGCCCTGACCTTGACAGATAAGAAAGAAACTCTCAAAATAATTATTGGATCTACATCTACAATCAGTTTGCTTTTGGAGTCAACAAAATTGAATCTGGCCACCACAGTAGGCTTGGGCAGTATGACGGTATTGTGGTATACATTGATCTATATTACTYGATTGGACATCACCTATAGCTGCTATAGCTAGCGACGCGCCGTCATAGGAGCCATTGCAATGCATTGATTCATGTCAACAAAACGGTAGTTTCACTGCGGGATGCATGTCAATCTGTCACAAAAATATTCATAACACCCTCATTTCTTATCCGATTTCTATAAAATACGGCTTAAATTAAAGCTGAGAAAATTGCCAATGTTGTGATATGTAAAAAATATGTATTTGCTCAAGAGATAAATCTATAAGCTGTCTGGGAACTTTTCATTATAGGTTTTTGCTAACGTATTTACAGTAGAAGCCCCTTTCTGTCACATAAAACTYAGAGTCATGTGTGTCATATATATGTATAATTCTAATTTTGCATTTGTTTCCTGGTTCTTCATTCGCGCTGAAGTGACTAAGGACAAATACCTCCACCTGCTCATAAAATAAATGRGGTCGGCCTCTCCACCGCTTAGCTTATGAAATGTATGGTGGAGGAAAAAAAAGGTCACAGAGTTTTTTACTCTGATATATAATCACAAACTACAGGATATACCACATACTGACTGGACAGAACAGCAGTACCAGTAATATCCACACAGTTCAGCCTAGTAGTATTAAAGGTAATTTTGCTGTTGTCCATTATACTGTATTTACCTCTCACAATGTTATCCCAACTTAATAACAATATTATTAAAAATATATAATAATTTGTTGAAACAGCAAATTTATCTTTTTGTTGGTTTACCCAACATAAGGTTGTCAAAATCAAGCTAGCATAGCTGACCTAAAATGTGACAACCTTGATCTTGTGATCTTGTTGTTGTAGTGTTGACAATTTATGGCAAAATATTGCATCCCTTTTTGGTATTCCTTGCATGACTGTCTGCTGCATCCCCTTTTTACCACCATTCATGGATGTTCCCGAGTCAAAACTCAATGCATAGCAATGGCATCTGTGCGGCGCACYATAAGTCACGTAATGTCCAATCCATTAATACATATAAATCAATGGTGGTATACCTTGGTACTGAAATATGGTGATGTATTTAAAAGTTATGATGGTATATTAACGCTCTCTGTTTCAATGTATGTCWAAAGTAGAGAATTCAAASTACGCACCAGGTTTTAAATTGTGTTGATAGGCAAAATAAAATCAGAGTTATTATAAATGGTATACACCACTTTTTTTCTGAACATGACCGTCCTATTTGATGTGCATTGAAGCAGAAGGCATTAGGAAACATGGTAGTCTCATGGATAAACAGCTCAATCCACCATTAGTCTCATCCTTCTCAGGAGTTGCAAAAATACAGCCCCCGACCCGACCTCCTTCCTAAGCAAGGCCCAAAGTTATTTGACAAGTGCCAGAAAATCTACATGAAGAAAAAAGATACGAACGTTAAATAAGATTTGGGGGTGATGGAGAGACCGCGAGAGTGGGAGAAAGTAACTCAACACACCACAGACCATACACCTGCCACACCCCACCCCAGTAATACCCTACACCACAGCTAATTGACTTTAGCAAACAATGAAATGGGTACAACTCCGTTTTATTGATAAGATTTGATGTGGGTAGTAACTGAGAGTCATCCATGACAAATGCACAGAGATTGGGATCTTACATTATTGCGTGAGATCATGCAATTGATCAACAAAACAGCCCTTACTGTTGTTTTTCAACACAAAGTCTAAAACTGTTGCACGACCGATGATCAGCTTTTAATTTCTAATGACTGTTTTCTTGAAAACTTGCTTAGTAATGTAATAGTAGCTTTGCATTCATTCAGATTGCAGATTAAGTTAGTTTGAGGTGTTGGTCTGCTTCCATGATAAGAAACAAAGTCAAAACAGACTGATTAATCTAGATGAGGCATGCTTTAGGCCCGCTCAGGGGCATCAAAATTCATGTGATTATTGTGATGCAGTGAGATAATCAGCAGAGAGGGGTTTCCACTTTGTGGAGATGGTCTAAAACCATGTGAACCTCTCAGTCTTTCCAACTGTCTGTTTTCGCCAGGGTTATTTTGGTCTGTGACATCTCTAGGTCCAGCAGTCATAATCTGATCATTCATTAATTGTGCAAGGGTTCTGATTAATCCATTGTGAAATAATTTCAAAGGAATCTAAAAATAGCATCTACAAAATGTAATTTTCGTACAAGAAAAAAGTTAATAAATAAACAATCTTAACAAATTGGAAAATATTTCTAAATGTCAGTTTTACGATGTAGTATAACATTGATGAGCCTTAAATGTTTGTTTTCTTAAGACATTCTAAAAAGTTTGCAAGGGTTTTTAGATTCAATTGTGGTATYTAATCATAAAAAACTATAAATATATAAAGTTAACTAGGGTCATCAAGGACAGCTTTAAAGGTTGTAAAATTGCTTTGAGAACAGTTTGTTGTTTCCACAAGTGATGTTTTTCTTTTTCCATTCAGTGGGAAGTATTTGACCTTCAGTGAAAATTGCAAAATACCTAAATGTTAATCTGAGATTGTGACGGCAGCAAGCAGCTCAGTATTTGCCTGAAAGCATTTTTTCTTTTCTAGTCCAAAGCCTAAAAGAGGCAGTGTAACTTGGGCAAAAAATAGAAATAACTAGCAGTGCTCTCAGACTCTGCCAAGACTAAAGCTTATGCCCAACTCGCAATAGTTTGCAAAGCAGCTTGGATCCACATTAACTGAAATGTTTTCCCCCTGACACTAAGCTCTACTTCTCCCGGTACAAACGGCACATTTTACTCTGATTATTTCCATCTTTGATTGTACATTAACATTCTCTTTTGTAAGCCAGACGATTGAAACATCACATTAATATCAGATAATTAGGAGTGTTCTATTCAAATCTTGCAAGTCAAATTCACTTTTTCATCAGAGAAGCAGTAAATTAGTTGCTGGTGTGTGCAAAATTATATAAAAAAAACAAACTTGGTGTCCAATCCAGGCTGGAAAGTTGAGCACATTCCTCTAATTTTTTTTGCTTAATAGATTYGAAACGGTGCTCAGGTTTAAACCATTTAATGCCTTGTGAGTGATTAAAACTTGAGTTTTATTTTGGAGTAATTGGTATAATGTGTTTCAGCTTTTTCAGGAACGTTTTTTTCTAAAGCGTTTTTAGCTGAGTGCTCAATGAAACAAAGACATGAGTAACTTTTTCCAGGTCAATGGCACACAGAAAATGAGGATTTTAGAGATACTTATTTAAAAAATGACTTTTCTTTCTGGTTTCATTGAGCCTCTCCCTCCTCCTGGTCACAGGTTCAGTGGAACCCRGTCGGTCCTGGCAGGAAGCCACTTTAGGTGAATCACTTCCAGGTCAAAGTTTTGCACAGATGACAGGTGTTAGATGATCGCAGTGTTCATTTCTAAAATCTAACGAGGAAGACATGATGTAAGGGGAGCAAGTGCATTGCTCTTTTCAAGAAAATTGGTACCTTTTTATGTTAAACCACCCATGTGAGGTACTCTGATGTGATCTCCCTTCATATGACCCTTCCTGATTCGTTTACAGAACCAACATGAAGCTGTATTATCGGGTTCCCCAACTTTGTGTGTGTTTGTCTTCAGGGGGAATGTCGTTATGAACAGGAGCTTCTTCCTTACCTTCATAAAGAAGACACTGAGAAAAACGAACGGAAGAAACAGAAGGCCACAAAGCTCTGCACAAAAACCCCGACCAGAAAACCCAAACCAGCGCACACTTCCTGGTCTGAACTAGAATGTATTGACGAGGAAATGGAAAGAGACGATGCAAGTGTAGCTGGGGTAGTTTCCTCACTCTCTGTACCAAAACACAGACATGCTATTGAAATGGACTCAGAGGTCGCGTGTGATGAGGCCACAGATTACTTAGAACGTGAAGGAGATTGTTCAGATAGTGAGAAGAATGACTATGCCATCACTAACAAAACAGATTATACATTTACTGATCATGTCGATCTGAACAGTACACCACAAGAGAATAACGGGGAAGAAGATTTCGAGCTTCAGGCGATGTTCTACCTTCCTAAATGGAATTCAGGACCAGCGTTCCACTCTGTCAAACCAAGAAAAGATACGAGTCTGGCGGTCATCCTGGCCAACGTGGCTGAACTTCTGTCTCGGTCTCCACCTTCACTGGTTGACATTTTAGCAGAGGACAAAGTGGTGTCATTTCTTCCACCTCCTCCTCAGCCAACTCAGCAGCCATTCCTCGTCAGTTTTAGCCTAGYCGTGGATGACGACGAGGAAAATGAGGTTGATGCCGACGACGTGCCCGTTGTGCCAGATTTAGACGAACCTTCTGGGAGTGAAATGGGCAGGACAGATGAGCCCCTTGTCAGAGCCGACAGTCCCACCTGGGATGAGCTTTTCGAGGCCGAAGAAGTTGCCTACGACGCCAACAGGGAAGCAGAATTCAAAAGGCAAAATGACTCTGAGGAGGAGCGTGTAACGGACAGTAAAAACAATGGTACGGTCAAAGAGAGGGATGAGTTGACGTCAAACATAACGGATGATTGTGCGACGAATGAGGGAGCCATTACTGAACACCTCCAGATGGATGAGAGCATGGATCTGTTTGAGGARGACGAAGCCTTCCTGCAGATGACCATTCCAGACGTTCCCACTCCTGAAGACACAACCAAGATATCCCTCGATGCAGGAAATGATGAGAAGACAAAAAATACCACTTCACCTGTATATTCATCACCAAAACCATCCCAGTTATCTGGGATGGTTTTAAATCCAATGCAAAAGACTGAGTTGGGAGGCACAGAATGCAGAACACAAACAGAGCTTAAAACAAAACTTCACACACAAATTAAACCTGTTCTAGATAATCTAGAGGAAAGTGCTCCTCGTTTAAAATTTCCCTCAGTTCAAGAAGAACCAGAGCCAAAGGACAGCTCCCATCATGTCTTCCCTGTTAATTTTGATCTTGGCTATTCACTGGAAGACTCTGCAGACGAAATGGAGGATGATGTTTTACCTTCCTCTTCATCGCCTACAAAGCCAGATCACTCTGTCGTGTTTGTGCCACCTACTTCGAAATCCTCGACTCCTATTAACAGCTTCTCCAGACACTTCAGTCAGTTCAAGGTTTCCTCCTCGCACATGCCAACAAAACGCGGGATGTTTAAACGTGAGGGACTCCCGTCTCCAATCACATCACCAGGAGCCAGGAGGACTCCTGGTTTTCCTGGACCGACGTCTTTTGGCTTAAAGCAAACCGAAGGCAGCGCCTCTACGAGCGCTGTAGAAAAGACCTCTGGACAGGAGTCTGTTCACGCGATCAGCTTTCCTCCTCATCCAGGTTGGTTCAGAAACTGTTCTTGGAGTAAAACACATCATTTGATTTGAGTTTCTTGTCGAGCTGCTTGCGTGTTTGTCGTTTGATTCTCAGAGCGTTACAGTGACAGTGAAGAAGAAATCGTGTTTCGCAAAAAGAGACATCAGAACCAGGTCAACCCGTTGTCATCCCCAGAAGTGGTGAGCATTTATTTGAAAGTTTRCCTCAGTGGAGAATGTATTATATTAAGTGTTGCAGTTTGGCCAGAGAGACATTTAGTGGAAAAATAAAGTCATGTCTGTCTGTTCACTTCAGAGAGAGACCTGAAATGTAGTTAGGCCRATTACATTCACACTGTGTTTATGAAGTCCTGCAAGATGAGATCAGTTTTCCTCGGTCATTTCTATGGTACCTGCAGTTGTCCTGGTCACCGCTCAGTGAGAAAGCCCTGTTATCTGATGAGATTTTTTTTATTTATTTTTTTTACTTTAGAAAACCTTATGTTGATGCAAACTTAAGCTAAGCTATGTTTTGTTTGTTRCAGTCCAAGATGGCGAGTGATGTGGACTCCCCGGTGGTGGTGAAAAAGAAGCGTTTCTCTGCATGCAACACTGTAAGTATTCTCACAGTTTTTTAATTATTTTTTGAGGATATTAACACATTGAACAAATTTGCTCTCTGTCCACCAGCTGGATGAGACGCAGAACGAAGCTGTTTCTGATGATGACTTCCAGGATGACTCCATGTTCACCTGCAGAACCTCAGCTCCAGGAGTTAAAAGGACAGAAATCCAACAAGTCAAGGACAAGGTCTGTTCAGCATCGAGTACAATTTCTGTGTTTTAGTGTTTTTTTTAAACCCTTTTTTTCTGATGTCTCTACAATTTGTACAAATTAAGCCTTTACTCAAATGTGACTCCTCTGCCAAGCTTTAAAAATGCAGAGTCATCATCTGTCAGCTGCACGGAGACCTTCAGGTTTTTTATTTTTTGTTGTTGTTTCTGCGTCAGAACACCAAGCGTCACAAGGCGCGTCAGTTTCTGGATGTAGAGGCGGAGCTGTCAYACAACGAGGAGGGAGCTGATGTTTCATCTGATGAAGAAGACGGCGAAGACCTGGATCGCTCTCTCGAGGGCTTTGTGGTCAACAACACTCACCTCACCCAGGAACTGAACGGTTAGCTCGCTCAGCGCTCGTTAACCTTTTCACACCTGTCGCTCCTCTGCGTGGCTCAGACGTCAGGGCTCAGGCTGGGACATTCACTCGTTGCTTTTCTGTCTGTTCTSCTTCCCGACAGACTCAGAGATGCACGGGGTTTACTTGAAGTCAGTGAGAAGCCCTGCAGTTCAGGGGAAATTCAAAATGTCCTACAGAAACCATCACAATGTGGACATTTATTCTCAGGTGCGTGCCGAAAGACAAAGGCAGGGTGATGATGTCTTTGTGTTTGTTTGTCTGTATATTTTTTTTATTTCTCAAAAACCACCGGAAGGATTTCAGTTTTTGGTAACACTTGTAATAACTACACTTTATTTAGCCTTACTTAACCATTAATAAAGGGTTAGTTAACATTGAAAACATCATTAGTTAAGGATGATTCATACATAATAAGCTATAAATTAACATGTTAATAATGCTTTACCCYTAAAGGCAAATTACTTCCAAAACCAGCATACTCATTGTTTATTCATACTTAATAACTCATTAATTAACTATTCTATTTACTGTGTMTATATGTATGTAAATGCTTATTATTGTATGTAATTGTAACTTTATTTGATCAATTCATGAAATGTCCCATGAACCTTCTCTAAGTGCACGGGCTAAAAAAATAAAAACATTAGCCACCTCCCTGGCTGCTTGCTTAATCATAAAACATATTTGTTTTTCATGTTTCAGCCCTCAGATAGATTTTTATTTTTTCTGTCTCGGGGGGAAATAGTTTGGGCACCTCTGCTTTAACCATTAATACATGTCTAATACATGATGTATATTTATTTGACTATTTACATACAAATACACAACAGTTATTTCATGAGTTATTAAGCATTAATAAACAATGAGTATGTTGGTTTTGCAAGTAATTAGCCTTTATGGGTAAAGCGTTAATAAATGTGTTAATTTATAGCTTATTAAGTATGAATCATCCTCATTTAKTTTTCTAGATTAACTAACCATTTATTAAAGCTAAGTATAGTGTAGTAGTTATTATATTAAGTGTTACCCAATTGTTTGTGTCCAGGTGCCTGAGATGGACGAGACYTATGCGGAGGACAGCTTTGTGGTTGGCAGCGATGAAGAGGAGCCGGACAGCAATGAGGAAGAGGCCGAGGAGGTTGAGCTCATGCCCGAGGTCTCGAATGTGGACGGGAGGAGGCAGTACGCGACCAGACGGCGCATCTTTCTGCACAAAGCCAGAGCTGCAGCCGACAGCAGAGCTGACTGTCCAGCTCAGCAGAGAGCCGCAGCAAAAACCAAACGCTCCCGGGTCATACGGATGAACGATTCTAGCGAGGACGAGGTTGACAAGGGGAGTAAAAACACAAATATCAATGCAGGAGGAAGCGCCGCCTCTTTGCAGCCAAACAAAGGGCAGCAAGAGAAAACGGCTCCTTCGTCTGCCACCTTAGCTTCCAAAGACTTGTCGTTGAATAAAGCACAAAGCTCGCTGAGTGCAGAGCAGGCTAATGAGAGGTGAAAACACATCCTATTCTAGTTTCACAGTTATTTATTGAACAACTGCCTGAGCGTTTTGTATTTTTTTTCCTCTGCAGGTGTCAACAGAAGTTAGAGAACCAACATCTTCTCTCTGATGAGCTCGACTTTGTAGAGTCAAAGTTTTCCTCAAAGAAAGTACGTTCAAACAAGATGGCCGCTATCGTCAGCTGACCTTTAAAAACACAAAAATGGCTACAACTCAGCCAGTTTTATAGATATTGAGGTAAAATTCGATGTGGTAGTAGCTGTGAGTCTGTAAACCCCAATGGGTCAGCCAAGTTCTTACAATATTGCTTGAGATCACAAAGTTTGACCAAAACAGCTACAACTCTGTCCCCTCCCAGCACAAGATAAACTTGCTATATTGAATGTGTATAATGCAGGAAATTTAACCCCCCAAAAATGTAATTTAATCTAGTTTAGTTTATTTCAAACATGTATACAAAACAAAACAAAAAATGATTAAAAAGTGATAACAAAATTAACATATTTGAAAAGGAATGGGAAGAAGTAAAAAAACTTATTTAATCCCACCCTTCTCTGAAGCTTATTAACAAAAAAATAGTAAATTCTTCTTTTTCCTTATTCTAAGTTACAATTTCATAAAGACTAAAACAACAATCTTTACCTAGAATTGTATATAATACCAAAATATATTCATAAACGTAAATGTACATCTACATGCAGTGTATATGCAATACACACATAAATGTTTACATACACAATGTACACACATATATACACAGCCCCAAACATCTCCATATATTGCAAAAAAAAAAAAAACCCAAAAAATTAAAAAATAAGATATAATAATAATCAGACACACTCAGCATCCCTATATCTTTTGTAAATCGTTCATAAAGTAGTGGGGTCGTATTATTCAACATACACAGGAGTACATTTTACTGGATTTTTTCTAATGTACAACCACAGAAGCATATAAGCAACTCAGAGAAGGAAAAAAAATGTTTTTTTCCTTGTCAACCTTGGTAAAGGCCATTTTAGACAACTTATGCCAACTTGTGAAAAATTTAAAACCATCTACGTTGAAGATGGAATTAAAATTAACCAGAGACCTCTTTTGTGCAAATTGAACAAACAAATTGATCAAATATATAACTTTTGTAGTAATTTAGACATATAAAAAATTGTGTCAAATGTAAATATATATTTTAATATTTACTTTATTTAGGCTGTAATCACAAAACAATTCCTTAAAAAAACACAAATGACACGCGGAGCCTGAAGCTTGAGCTCCTCGGCAGCCTTTGCTCCACAGCAACAAAATAATACTTCCCTACTGAATTTTGTGATAGCATTATACATTATTATACTTTTTTTAATGCTTTTTAATAATAAAGGAGGTTGCTTTATACTCGATCGCATTACACATGAATAAATACGGTAATCTAAAACTCTGGCATGAAAGGCAGCAGGCTATATGCACTCCTTCAAAGGTTACCAGGTTTTAATGAAATTAATGTTTTGCTTTATTGTTTATAGGAACGCCCACCTTCTTCACACACCTCAGTGAAAGAGTCTCCCTCTCTGCCTGGGTCCGCCTGCATCCTGGTGGACAGCCGCTGCATCAGTAGCGGCGTGGAGCTGATGTCCAGCCTGCGTCAGCGACACGCTGCGACCGTCCACGTCTGCTCCCTGGACAGCAGCTACTTCATCGTGAGCAACCGCACGGCCGTGGAGCGGCACAGCCAGTCGGACCTAGCCGCGACGCAGAACCGGAAGCGGCTGGTCGAGAGGATAGGCGGCCTGCTCGGGCTGTTTGAGCGCGTTTGTTTGATAGTGGAGAAAGATCGAACCAAAACGGGTGCCTTTTTAAAGTTATACAGTGCATTTTGATCGTTGATTAAAGGACGGTCAGCGAGGTGTGCAAAATCGCTGAAAGTTTGCATAATATTTATTTGCACGTTATTCGCCTCTGTTTCAGGTGAGACTTCCCGTCCATTTCAACGCACTCGTTACTACGACAGCACTTTAGCAGCACTGGTGCACGCAGGGGTCCGCCTGCTGTGGAGCGATGGCCCCGAGGAGAGCGCCGGCTTGCTGGTGGACCTGGCGAGTCTGGAGCACCGTAAAGGCCGGGGCATCTCTGTGCCACTCGAGGTCAAAGGGCAGCAGAGGCAGCAGGCCCTTCAGCTGTACCTGAGCCTGCCTTCGGTCAACTACGTCCACGCTCTCAGCCTGAGCCACAGCTTCACTTCCATTGCTCAGCTGATAAACAGGTAAAGGAAGTTCAAGCTGTATCGTATTGTAACCTGACAGGAGCTGCCCCCCTTCTCGTTTTAATGTCACGTTTTGCCCCCGCAGCTCGATTGAGGCCATACAGACAGCAGGCTGCATGAGTCGACCCAGAGCAGAGGAGATCTATCGCTTCCTGCGCTACTCCTGTGACTCGGTCCTTCTAAATGCATCGAAAACAGGAAAAAACAGCTAGCACTTTTAGAAAGAAACTGAAATACATCTCTGCATCAGTTTGCTTCTCTGTCAGCTTATATTTTCTGTTCTCTGGCTTACTGGGAATAATGACATTTGTATTACGCAACTGTATTTATTGTCTGTTATTGCATCTCAGTGAGATAAGACTTATTTTTGTACAGTAAACTCAAGGAGTACAACTCAACTCCTCCATATTGGATAATCAGAAGTTTGTTTTATTCTGCATATTTTTTAAGTCAAGTTTTCCATCATTTTGACACTATCTTGTCCACAGTATTAACACTAAGATCATAGAAACTCAGCTGATACTTGAATATTTAATTTGTGAAATAATGTGTGCCATTTTTTTTTCAATTTTTTTTTTTAAACAGGACTCAGTTAAGCTTCTGAATTAAATTATTTTTACACATCATGGTCGGTGCTGGACTCTTGTCTGATCACAAACTGCAATATCTATAACCACTAGAGGTCAGAATTGTCTCTTTAACAGATTATATMTTCAAGTCACCTTTTAATCATGAAAATACTCAAGTTTGTCACTTTTGGTGCAGTGAAAGGTATGTAACCTCATACGAATTCATGTTTTTACATTTTAAAAGCCCAATGCATCTCAGTAATCCAGGAAGAAAAATCTAAAACATAGTTGAGTAGGTCCTCTGGATAAGTTCCAGTTAAAGTTAAATAAAGCCCAACATTTAAAAACAAGCCCAAACGATGTAATCAAAACCAAAGCATTTTATTTGAGTGATCTTAACATGTAGATGTACTACTTTGGTGCAAGATTTTATACAGTTGAGCACAGAAACAACAGTGTTTAAAAGCAGCACAATTCAAAATATGTCAAATGACACATCCACCTATAGAGACAAACAAATTAGAAAAATCTGGGGGAGAAATATTGAAAATATAGTTAATTTAAAAACTATAAAGAACAAAAAAAATGTTTGATTCACATTATGTACATTTATAACATTTGTGCAACTCCAGTGTCAGATCTGCACATCTTCACCTGGAGGAGTTACCATAAAGTGCAGAGCAAGTTTCAGCTTCTGCCTTCTTGCATCATTACTAATGTGTCAAATGTAAATATATATTTTAATATTTACTTTATTTAGGCTGTAATCACAAAAATCCTTTAAAAAAAACAAGCTTTAAAGTACTGTAGAACCTCCAGCTGTGGCAGGACACTAGTAACTACTTCCTCTGCCTCTAGGTGGCGCAGATTAGTTCACATTATTGGTCTGATGCTGCCCACTTGTGGAGCTCCACAAACATTGTGCCCAAATAAGGTGACAGGAAGCAGGTTTAAAATACATATGTGGGATTTTTAAAATCCCAATTTTGACAAGCCAACTCATTAGTTCAACATTTAAATAAAATGTTGCCTGAGAAGGAAATACAATATATAAAACCTGATTGACCACTATCATAGTTTCAACCATACTTGTGGTTAACATACTATTAAGGTGCTTTTTATAGACACTGTATGATGCCAACAGCAGTACTCTGCCTAACATGCAACTTTATAATACATTAAACTACATTTTCTTTATCTAAATTATACACTTACATRACAGAGCCTGTTAGTTTTAATGTGAAGTGAAAACATAACCTTGTGACATTAAAACGTTAAACAGCAGCTACAGTTTTACTTTGAATCCCTACAARTATTATTTTTTAAATATATAAAGTACAACATTCATTTCAGAAATTTGWTACTGCCTCTTTATGTGTAACCATTACTTCAATGTGCTGAGAAGCGTTCAAATGGAGGTGAACAGCTTTGGTCAACAACAAAAAGCATAAATGTACATTTATAAATGACTCCAATCAAAGGGGAGCAGGATAGATGAAGGGATATGGTCAAATTTGTATATTTTTTTTGGTAACCAAGAACATTTTAAATACTGGCCACTAGTTTATCACAAATGACTCCATTACAACCTGAAGCTACAGTAGTACMTCTTTGACTGTGCATTTTAGGGACGTGTAACATTCAAGTTTGCTAATATACCAAAAGTCACCATATGTACAAAAAGTATCGGGTTCAAAAGAAAACATATATATATACAAAGCAGCTTTTGGCTTAAAATATATATTTTCTTTTCTACAGCACAAGTGGCTGAAGCTCCATCTYAACAGAACAGTCAGCAGTTCGTCATTATAAACAGCAGTCAACAGATCACAGACCTGGATTTAACAATGATCTACTGACGACTGCTGCACAGTGTCTTACATGCTAGTTGGTTGTGTCTGTTGCTGCAGAGGCTGCAGCTGAACACACTGAGGCTCAGAGTTCTGGATGCTACATTCCTCTCCCTGTCGCATGTACATTAAAAACAAAGTCACCGTGGCAAACGTGGTGGCGTTCACCGGAAACGCACGGAGCAACGTGGACGTGAGTCCACGAGTGAAAACTCTCCACCCTTCRTTCTGCAAACTCTGTCGGACACAGTCCATTATGCTGCTGTATTTATTAACGCCCCCTAAACCGTCTGCCTGCAGACGCGACTTGATCACATCCACYGGGTAGGTGGAGAGCCAGGACGCGATGCCTGACATCCCACCGGCAAACAGCAGCTTTGGGATCATGTAGGGGTCTTCAGGCTCACAGCCCAACGAGCGCGTCAGCACATCGTACGCGAGGAAGTACACGCCAAAGCCCGGCGTCTCGCGCAGCAGGGTGGTCACCATGCCACGGTTGATCCCTCTGAATCCCTCCTTGTTATAGATCCTCACCAGGCAGTCCAGGGAGTTCTTGTACATCTTCTTCTTAGACTTCTTCTCTCCAGTCCCTTGCATCTGCATGCGCGTCTTGGCTAGCTCCATCGGGCAACAGATGACGCACTGGATGGCTCCGGCTGCGGCTCCAGCCAGGAACTGGTTGAGCGGTGTGTCGCGGCCAAGGTGTCGCATGGCGTTGCCTTGGACACCAAAAACAATGGCGTTGATGAACGTCAGCCCCATCATGGGAGAGCCGATACCCTTATACAAACCCAGCATCTGCAAACAAAAAGACAGAAACAGGATTAACTGAGGTGTCACAGAACACTAAGTTAAATTTTGAAAACAGAGATTCAGAAGAACGGATTGAAAAAAGGTGAGGAGTTCCAGAGAGTTGGGGCAGCAAAAATGAAAATTTGCAAAATTATTTGAAAACAYTTTGAAAAATTGCAGGTGGGGTTCCACAAACCATTATTAGATACGTTCGAATAATTAGATAGAAAAAATCTGCAAATGACTGAAGAAGTGAATTCTCTGGAGTTCAATGTATGCCAAAAAATAAAAACCTATCAACATCCTGTGATGGTGTTAAACTACATTGTGGGAGAATCTGCTTGTTTCATGGCTTAAAGGCACAGTGTGTAGGATTTTGTCAATTCTTTTAGCTGAAATTGAGATAATCACTAATGACAATAATAAAAAAAACATGTCTAATCATTGCAGACAAAGACCTTGTTTAATTATTTTTACCTTCTAAAAAGCTGTTTATATCTCCATGGTCGCGGGTCGCCCTACAGGCAGCCGCCATCTTGCACCACCTTTTAACCTCAAAAGTACAATTTTTAAATTAAATGTTGCTGAAACAGCAAGTTTCTCAGTGGATCTGCTCTTGAATGTGCAGCCTAGGTGGAGTAGTCGAACACAGATAAAATGATCCTTCAACACAGGAGCATCTTCACAAGACAAGCTGATAAAATAAAAAAAATAATAAATCTGTTTTGTTCGATACAAGTGTGTATTGAACCTAAAGCACTGTATTGTACGGTTTGATACGGGTGCATGTATTGTTGCACCCCTAATGTATATAGATGCCAAATTAAAACTGATTGGTGCAGATCAGGCTTTTTAAAGATGGGTGATCGGCCAGAAAACTGTAATACATTTTGCAACAAATGACTGTCAAGTTCCAGCACAAAACATCTTTCACATGAATCCCAAGGAAATCAACACTTATTTTGTGGTCTAAATTTTTTTTGCTGACATACCAACTGTACAGAAAGCGTCAAAACTGAGTTCAGCCATGTGCTACTGCCACATAATCAGGCATACTCCACAAATAGCTCAATGTTCAAAGCTTTATTTAGGCACACAGGAGTAACTTCTCCCTGACCCTGGCTGAGAAGGAACACACACCCTTCGCCTGCTACCCACCCACCCACCCCAAGATGGGTATATGCTGGTGGATGCATGTATTCTCAGATGGGAAAGTAACTGAACCCTGCAATGGTCTGCGTGCAGTAAGAATATCTGCTACTTTGCAGAATTAACAGAAAAGTTAAACAGCTTACCGATTCCTGGCGTATGATTGACTGAAAGCAGTGAAACGTCCCACGGTACAGAGGTTTGTCCACATTTTGAACCTGAAGCCTCACCTGTGGAGGATGGTACTCATGTCAAATTCACATAAAGGAATGTTGAGGCCTAAAGTGGCCACAGTACATACAAAGCAAATACTTTAATACATGTTTACAGTGAAATAAGCAAGCCTTTTTTTAAATAATTTCTTTTGGGGTAAAAAAATGCTTATGGGGTGCAACATGTGGGAGAAAAGAAAACAATATATTAACCGAGCATCAACTTGTGTAAAGCAAAATGTCTTCTTCACTTTATACTTCTATAACTCAAGACAGGACATTTGGGTGAGAGAAAGAAAGACCTTGACCATACTTACTAGGTCACATATCCGTGGAGAGGTTGTTTATTTCTCTCTCTCATCTACAACACAGTGACACTGTAGCTGTTAAAGACAGCCGCCCCCAGCCCCGAGCAGACACCGGCTCAGGGAGAAATGACATTAAAAGCAAGGTATAAAAGTACTACAAACCATTCACCATCTGTGTGTGCCTCTAAAGCAGATGCAATAAATTCACACAATTATCAAGAACTAAAGTTTTCACCTTGCCATCTGTCTAACACCATGACTTTGATTTTTAGAATAAACTTTCTGCAGAATTTTTGTGTTTTTACAGGTTACAGGCTTAAAAAAACAATATTCATATGCATGTACAGAAATGTTTTAATGTTTAAACCACACAAACCCATAATTTAGTGCAGAAACTTGGTTGTGTTTTTACTTTAACACTAAAAAAATGACAGAATAAAGCCTAAGACATTTTATAACTTTGTGGATAAAGATAACTGATGAGTGCATTGGAATAGGGAGTGTTACTGAGCTGACTTAAGGAAATGTCTCCATTTAATCCAATGACAAATGATCACTTCAAGAAAAAATGCGAGATAATGGGTGCACCTTATCGTCATCATCAAAATATCTGAAAAGTTGAAGCATATGCATAACTTCAGTCTGCAAACAATAAAAYAATGTAGAGACCGTTTAAAATTATTTATCTACAAAAAACAGCAAATTAAGTTAGTCAAACATCACATACTATCCTAAAGATAGTCCAAAATGGCTCAAGCGAAGCCCTTTTATTCTCTGTGAAATTGTGTACAATCAGATTACCTTGATTCAAATTCGGACTGCCTATGACGTAGTCTGACTTTCTARTTTTCAACACCAAATGAGTGAGGCAAGAGTGTACGAGCGACGGGAAGAAGCAGACACCCACCTTTACAGTGTCAAATGGATGTCCAACCAAAACACCAGCAGCACCTACGAAAGACACACACACAGAATTTAAATGATCTTACACTTATAGAATCACTTTAACTACAGGCCTAGCATTCTTTAAAATGATGTATTTTTATGCCAGAGTGTTAAAGGGACCCATGATTACTTGTAACTTTAAACTTTATTTAATAAACATATTTTGACTGTAAAATAAAAACCGTAAAAATACTGTAGGTTGTTCAGTTTTTATCATTTTTAAGCTAAAAGTATAAAAATATATTACACGGACGGGGCCATTTTTTTTTTTACACGCAAAGCATTCTGTGTAAATGATGACGTGGATAGGTCCTCAATGCGAGGCTGCTAGCGAGCTATATCC